GGATGTTTTCCCCAAAGTGTAATTTTAATAGTCCTTGGAAAAAAATTTGTAGAGTCTGATAAGCTCCTAAATGCATTATAAGTGAGGATCTGTGATGGGTTGTTTATGTCAAAGCTGTCTTTAAAAGTTTTCTGTAAACTAGGTTGTTGTGTCTTTACTTTGTCTACCTTTTCTTTCATGTCATACAAGCGTGCATTTTCTAAGTCTGTTTTTTGTTGTTTGTTCAGGGTTTTCTTTATTGAGAAGTTCAAATTCTCATCTCAAGAAGCAAGTGCAATTAACAGGTATAGTGTGGTTGATTTAATGAGTAAATGCACTACTGCTGTGTTCCTATGGGGGTGCGTGTGTCTTTGGGCTCTGACCATGTGGGAGGAGGTTTGGGATCTACTGTTGCAGGTGGTGACTTGCATTGAAGTGGACAGATTTCACGTGGCCCAAGGAATAATGGAGAGGTGTGGGTATTTGTTTAAATAAAAATGTCTTAGGTGTTCACATTGAGGAATCGGAAAGAAAAGGAGCTGTCTGATGGTATTTTGGTAGTTAGTGATTCGCTTTTGAGTGAAAACAGTTTAATAGCAACACTAAATGAACTGAATTTTCCTCATTTGAAGCTGAATTTGTGATGTGGCAAAAAACCCCAAACAAAACCAAAACACTTGCTGGTGTGTGATTCCAAGAGCCCTGAGTATGTCCCATTTCCTTGGCCGTTGACTGTTTTCATATCCTCAGGCCTTTTGGGAAGCTTGAGTTCTGGAGTCTGTCTGGGATTTGAGGTTTTTTTGAGTTTTTTCTTACGGCCTCACAGGTAACAAGAGAACTTGGTGTTTTGCCTGGAGATGCTTGTATTGTGTAAGGCCTAAAGCTGTCCATGGGCAGCTGGTGTTCAGTTCTCTTATTTTTATTCTCTTGCAGTATTGTGTATATCATCTCGGCTCCCATGTCCCCAGTCTTTGGCCTCCTGGTGGATAAACTTGGAAAGAATATCATCTGGGTTTTATGTGCGGTAGTAACTACGCTTGCTTCTCACATTATGTTGGCTTTTACCTTCTGGAACCCCTGGATAGCCATGGTAAGTCATTTTCTGAGACTTATCGCTAAATGTGATAAAATAAGAAGTGGAGTTGATGATGAATTACTCTGCTTAAGTTGCCACTGTCTTCTGACTGTTTAGGTAGTCCTCAAAACCTATTTTTGATATTCCTGACTTTAAGAAGTATATACTGTGTGAAAATGAGCCTAAAGATGGTGAGAAAGGGAAGATGTAACACGGGCAAAACCAGCAGGAACTCTGCAGCCTAAAGATAACGCTTCAGGATTTGGTGGTGTGTGGAGGGAGGCAGCAGTTACATGTGTGTGTTTTCAGGTGGAAAAGATTGACTGCTGCCTATAGACATAATTCTATAGGGGTTTTTTTTTAGTGCAAAAGGGTGTTCAGCTTTTTAGGCAGGATGGAATTAGACCGGAGGGCTGTTCCTTCAAAGGAGGCCTTAATTCATCACAGTTTGGCGGTGCTCTGTTGCAGGCTCTGCTCTCATGCTTCATGGACAAGGTGCTCACTGTTCTCCTAAAGCTTGTTCTTTTGGGGTAGCTCTAGAGCTTACTACTATCATAATTAAACATCTTCCAGTTGTTTTAAACTGTCTCTGATATGAACGTATTGAATAGTGTTAAACCTCAATAAAAATCTTAGTTATTGATTGCCCCTTCCTAGGGCAGATTCTCTGGGAAATTGCTTTTGAACTGAGGTTTGCAGGCTTAAATTCAGTGCCCACCAGTGTGTCAGGGTTAAAAACTGGGTCATTTTTTTTATTTCTAGTGAGTTGCAGCATTGATCTTTTCCTCTGGGTGTTCAAGTCAGGCTCTTTACTTAATGCTGATTAGATAGGGTTTAGTTTGTGGGTTACTCCTGGAAAAAGTTCTCCTAAATGTTCATATTTTGGAGCAGCATTGCAAAAAAAGTGTTCCTTTCTTTTCCTTCTTTTTGGGGAAGGGGAAAACCAATGTTAATTTATTAGAAGTTCATAGCAAAAGTGAGCCTCATCTAACATCTGTTTCCTTGCTCTTTTTAATTTCACCAGTGTTTGCTAGGAGTTGCCTACTCGTTGCTCGCCTGTGCCTTGTGGCCCATGGTGGCCTTCGTTGTTCCAGAGCATCAGCTGGGAACTGCGTATGGCTTGTAAGTGCTTAAATACATCTGCTTGTGCTGCTCTGCAGTGACCATGGCCCAGTACTCATCTCTAACCATCGAGTATCAAGCTTTTCTAACAAGTTAATGGTTAATAATTCCTCCAAGTCCAGCCTAGCAGGAAGTCTGGTGCAGTTTCAGGATGTGTGGTAGAGCACGTGGTTGTGGTAGATGCACAAAACTTCTGCAAAAAATTGTGGAGTCATAACTGTTATAATGTCATAACACATGAGGAGAAGTGATTATAATTTTGTGTAGGGCCACTGATGATGTTTTCTGTAAAAATAAACTTCTGCATGGTGGTAACCCTTTGTTTCTGTGTTAGTATGCAGTCCATCCAGAACCTTGGTCTGGCCATCATCGCTATAGCAGCTGGGATGATTCTGGACACAAGAGGATACTTGTTTCTCGAAGTCTTCTTCAGTGCTTGTGTTTGCTGTAAGTATTAAAAACACTGACAATGGACTCTGTACGTTCAGGAAGTTTTATTAGGCTTTTTTTTTCTTAGTATTTCCCACAAAACAGTAATAACTCCTTACAGTTAGAGGCTTCAACTGGGGCAATGCTGAAAATAACTCAAACCTAGTGAAGTGTTTTGTGGTTTTCTTGGAATGATTTAATGTAAGTAGTGTCAGTGTTTGGAAGAAAATGAAGAGTGAGTAAAAGGGTGGGTGAATGATACTCCTAAGGGCTCTGCTTGAGGATTGTTACTAATACACTTAAACTAAAATAACTTTGTGAGTTACCATGCTACTTGTGAGCATAGTGAAAGTTTCAAAAGCAATTAAGAGATGCTACTGGCAAAAATCTCTGAATTACAGCTACCATGAAATATCTTAGTTGTTGCTTGGTTAAACGTGTTAATGTTGTAAATGATTTATTGTCAGCTAAAACTGTCTCCCCCTTTTTTTTTTCAGTGTCCCTAATAGCCGTAGTCATGCTGTACTTTGTGAATCACTTCACAGGTGAGGAAGTCTTCTCAGCTTCTCTTGATACTTGTTTTATTATTATGATTATTGCTCTTTACCTCCATTTCCACTTTTGTAAAATTATGCCACCAATTTCTTTGGTCAAGCGCTCAGAGAATTTCCGTAGGGAGGTACGGTATCAAAGACACAACACAAAAAGACTGATTTTTAAAGTTTCAGAGTGTGCGTTACTTCTGTTGCAGGGGGTGATCTCAACTGGTCTGCAAAGAAAAGGGAAAAACTGCAGAAAGTAGCTGCAAATGAGTAAGTATAAAGAATAATAAAAGACTACCTCTGTGAAGTGTTTAACCTGTAGTAATCAAGTAGGTTACTGTCTGAAATCAGCCTCTGTTGTAGGTTTGCCATTCATGTTGGAAGTCTCTGTTGTAGGTTTGCCATTCGTACTGGAAGTTATTTTCTTTCTTACCAGTTAACAGGATTTCCTACTCCTGCCTCCTGCGAGTGAATAATTAGAGGAAGTAGCACTGAACCAGGTGGCCTTTCCTGGCCCTCTTCCTTGCTGTTTTCCTTTATTCAGTGGCCTTCCAGCTGAGTGGAACTGAAGTGTGTTTAAAAAAAGTTGTCATTTCTTAGAACAAGTTGAAGAAATCTGAGGTTCTGCCCCTCCAATCTGAATTTGTTTTGGTGAGATTGTGATTGAGGACTGTTGGAGAGGGCACAGTATGTGCATTTCATGACTCTAGTCATAGTTTAACATTTGTTATGTGAAAGCGTGCATCAATCTGTGGCTGTGTCACAGTTTTCAAGATAACACCTGTGGAATCCAAGCTGCTTTTATGTGAACACCACTTTTTAGTTTGGAATTATTTCTGTTCTGACCTAATTCAGCTCAGGGATGCTCTTCAGATCCTGGAGCTCGTTTGCCTGTGATGTTGTTGGAATTCTTTACTTGTAATAGGTAACTACATTTCACCTGCAGATGTCACGCATCTCACTGCTGATACATAAGTTTGTTCCAGAGAAATACTTTGCTAACAAGACATTTCTCGTAAATGGACTTCATGGACTTCTCTAAAACTGGGCTGTGTACCTGTCCATATGATGATTCTTAAGTTAGTCTCAAAAAAAACCCCCACAAACCAGCTGTTGACAGCCAGTTTTTAACACAAACTCAACAAAACCACCTTGTACCCAGGAGCAAAGGAATCCTGTGTCCAAATAAAGCTGTTTTCAGTCTGCCTGGCCCATGTGGGGTGTGTGCAACTCTTGCAGTATTCACTGCAAAGCTGGCTTTGTGCTAGTGTGTGCTGTGGGATGTAGTGCCTCAGGACAGTATTTCCAGTAATTCTTATTAAAATGTTTTTCAGAAAAGAAATTTGAATAGCAAATACCATCCAGAAGTGGGGAGCGTTTGATCAGCATCATGTCACCTCGAAGAATTGTAGTCTTGTTTAGTTTGGTCCCTCTGCACAGTAGCTCTTTGGAAAACAAAAACTAACGTGCTGGATTTTACAGTAAATGGCTGCAGTTTGTGCTTTGTAACCACTTTTAACTAATGCCAGATCTCTTAATTTGAACAAAATGGGTTTATAGCGTTTTGCACCGTTGAAGCTGTCACGGAGAGGGTACTCTGCAACCCAAGGCAAACATGCTCACCTTAAGATAAGGACTGGTATGAAGTGTCTTTTGTGGGCAGTGCTGCCATCTTGGTGAGGGTGCAGATTTCTTAATGTAATGGCATTTATTTTCTGCTCTGTAATGAGGCTCTTTGCCGTGCAGAGCCATAAACGGGTCACTGGTACTGCCTTGGTCACTGCTAACCACTGTTTGAAGCAAGTGTATTGGGAGCTTTGTTTGCTTCTGTTTCTCTTTAAGACTTACATGGAAAAAGAGCGACAAGGCTCTGGTCAAATGCGGGCTCTCTTGTAGGAGACTGCTGTGAATTCTGAAGACTGCTGAGCAGTCTTTTATTTGCATTTTGGACAATTGATTCTTTTTGTATTGTAATCTTTATTTTAGAGAGTGAAAGCTTGTTTAATAAAGAGATAGTACAAATTGTTACAGAAGCTCACTGAGCACGTTGTAATCTGTGGAAACCCAGAGGTTTATCTTCCTCCTGAAGTCTTGCAATCTAAATAAAAGGAAACTGCTGAAAACAGCCTCTCTCTTTCTTTGCAACAGAGTAATCCATACGCATCTCTTGGTCTTTTAATCAGATATCCAGGATTCATCTATAAACATCAAAGCTTTTTCTAGTTGTTAAACATAAACAAGATAAAGTTGCTTGGGGTTGCACACCTCGGTGCAAATATCTGAACCCAATTTTCTTTTCCAGAGCAGAAGAACAAGAGAGACTCAGACGCCAAAATGAAGATGACTTGGCTAAATTACGGCCAAAAGCTGATGACTTTAGTTTAAGGAATAAATACCTCTCCAAACTAGGCGCTCAGGTATTAGTAACAAAGTAGGGCTTTTAATAATGAAGAATAGAACAGTAAGATATTTACTTTAAGAACTTATTAAAGAGCCACCTCATCAACATCTGATTAAAATGCTAAAAGTCTCACCTATGGTAATTAAAAATCTAACAAAGAAAATGAGGTGATGGCTGGCAGACCAAATAAGTTGAGAAGCAGGCTTATTATGATGCATGATTTTTTTTATTTTACTTTTTTTTTTTTGCAGCTACCAGAGAATTACTCTTCCGCCACCTCAGCAACCTCTGATTCAAGTGCTAAATGCATGCTTGTTCTCCAAAATGAAGTCTCACCTATGGTAATTAAAAATCTAACAAAGAAAATGAGGTGATGGCTGGCAGACCAAATAAGTTGAGAAGCAGGCTTATTATGATGCATGATTTTTTTTATTTTACTTTTTTTTTTTTGCAGCTACCAGAGAATTACTCTTCCTATTTATCCACAATGGTGCACAGAAGCGTCTTGAAATAGCATCTTGCCCCACTTGTAAAAACAGAAACACACGGAAGGTCCTGGTGCACAAAACTTGGTTTGCAGCACTGGCAGCTCCCACAGCAGAAGCAGAGCTGTGCAGAACAGCATAGATCCTGCTTTTAAAACACTTGGCTTTACCCTCTGAACTGTGGGTAAATAACACAGACACTGCTGAAGGACCCCTGAGTTATGTACTGCACCCTCATGTCTAAAATACTCAGTGAGCAGTGTGAGTCAGTAGCTAAGACTTGATCTCTTCAACCATGTCTGAAACGCAAAGCTGGTGTTTCAGGAATCAAAATGCTGTGAACTGAGAGTTGATGTAGGTATGGGTTATTTAGCCTATATTTAGTGGTTACCATGTTGGAAGTAGTGTTTATTTTTTCTTACAGAAAAATATAAGGAAAGAGACTATTTTTATTTTGGTCTGAGCAAGTATTTCAGAGGAAACCAGTTTCAGTATTAGAGTTCAAAAAGTGTTAGCCCTGGATTTTTAATACCAGGTCACAGCCTTAGCAATAAACCTCATGTAAATCCTGACTAATGTGAAAATTGATGTGTTTAGAGGAGACTGTGATTGAAAAGAATGCAAAGAGTTAAATGCAAAAACTGAAGCTTGCCGTTCAGTGGAAAAATGTTCAATTTTGTAATGAAGCTTAATGCTTTCCTATAGCTGCAGTGGAAGGCTTGGTGCTGAATAAATAGTTACCAACACCTCCTGCGGAGTGCTTTTTTCCTTAGTTTTTATTAATGGTGAAGGCTCATTTATGCAATTGGACAAATTATTCCTAAACCAAGCTCATCTTGCTTTAAAAGATGATAGCATCTGGCTTTGTGGAGCACTGGATACACCAAAAGGAGCTGCTATAGGGGCAGAGGATGAGGTGTGCAGGGCTGAGTGAGCTTTCTGTGGCTGACCTCAGGGAGCCCTTGTGTGGCACTAAGTGCTTAAGAGCAGAGAAAGAAATTTGTTACAACAAAAATACTACATTGTACCTGCAGTGTTTTTATGCCTACACTCATTTAAAGAGAATTTATTGAACTCATGGTCTTAAGCTTTGTTGTGTTTTGGGTTTTTTTTAAAGCTACTTTTCAGTGAAGATTTCGTGTTTCTGAAAGACTGAGCCAGGGCTGTTTTGTTTAATGTTGTGTATGCACCAAAGAACAAGCCAGGAAAGTAAAGTAGCAGGTCGTGAACTCGCCGAGCTTAGAACCAAAGGGGAATTGCACACTGAGCTGTGATAGATTTTACTGGTGCTTTCTGTGCTCCCTTTGAGAACCAGACACTGGCAGCTCTGAGATGGTTTATTTTTCCTCGTAGCCCTGTGATTTTTTTTTAAATAAAAGCTTTAAATGGATCCTGGCACCTGTATTTTTCTTACCTGAGGGTTTAGGGATGTGGTGGTGCCCTTGGCTCCTGGAAGTCGCCTCAGGAGGGCTGTGTTGTGCCGCAAGATGGGGCTCTCTGCGCGCTGACGGGGAGATGTAATGCTCCTTCCTGCTTTAAAGGGACTTGGAATAGCTGAAAGGATACATAAAGAAAAACAAAATACTGTTAAGCCCAGAAGGCTACAGCTGCACTTTCGTGGGGTGCCCCTGAGGGCTTGTATATAGCACACTCCTCTGTTCTCCAGCAGAAAAGAAATGAGTGAAATGCATGGTAAATAGCTCCAGAAGAGAGGTAAGACTGGAGGTGGTGTCTCCTGGCGCTTCAACAGCCTCCTGAGCAGAGCCTGCTCACAGAACATGGAGCGCACCTGGATGTGGGTCCTGCGCCTCGGTGGTTTCACCAGAGGGGCCTGGTCTTCCCCAGCAGGCAGGAGGAGCTGCCTTCAGCTGCTGCATTGCCCACAGCTGCACACCTGCACCTCAGAGAGCCGGCGAGGGGGCAGCTGCAGTAAAAGGAGACGGAGACAAATTGCCCTGCATGAACCAGGAGCACAAAAGGACTTCAGCAGGGGACAGACGGCATTTTCTCATCCCCAAGGAGAGGCAGGGAGCTCCTTTTCCCTTGGCAGCAGAGCCTGTGCATCTGCTAATGAAAAAGCCCCTCAGAGAAGGCAAGGAATTTTTTTCCTCCCTAGAAGTTTTTTTTGTTCTTGTTTTTTTTCTCCTTCTCCCCCCCCCCTTCAGCATTCTTGCATTTGTGATTTCTAATCATCATTCTGCTCTTCTTTCCCCCTTTTCTTCACTCCCCATTCGTGAGCTGCCCCCTGGGCTTGGCACTGCCCCAGCCCCAATGAACTCCAGCAAAGTTATGGGGTGTTCCCCCCCCCTTTCCTCCCCTCCTCACCACCTTCTCTTCCCTATTCAACCTGAACTTGTGGACAAAATAAACGCTGGCATCAGGTCGTTGTCCTTCCCCTCCCCATCAGAGGATGCTGAGAGAGGATTAAACTAATCTCATCCATCGCCTCGCTCCGGGTGCTGGCCTGGCCTCTTGCCACGCAGCGCCGGGGATAAAGCACAACGTCCCGGCAACATCTTTCTGCTGGGGCTTCCTATGCAAAGGCAGCGAAAGGCCCCAGTGCAGGAGCGGGTGGGTCTATATTGTGCAATGTCAACACGGTCACGTTTAACACATTGGCTTCAGTTAAAAAGAGAAGAAAGGAAAAGGGGAAAAAAAAAAAAAAGGCCTAGAAGCCTCAAGGTCTACCCAAGCCAATCACTGAAGCGCTGCTGGATTGGCTCATTTGTTAATTAATACTTAAGCAAAGAGTAGCAGAAGTTGTGCAGTGATGGGAGGAAGGCCACGGGGAGCAGCACTGCCTGGGATGTCTTGAACTCGGAGCTGAGGAGCAGCAGTTTCCAACTGCTTCACAAGGGGACACAACCAGCACCGGTGCCATTGGCAGGTGGGGAAACTGAGGCACTGAAAGACCCAGTGACTCCCAGGAGTCCCAGTAAACAAATGGGTTATTTTGGTGTTAAACACCAGCTCACCACTGACATCTCTGATACTGCTATGGCTCTTCTGCTTGGGTGGCTCTACAGAACTCAAGCTACTGCGCTGACTCCATCATCCTTCACTGACTTGCACAAAGCTTCTCCCGTTCGTGGATGTCAAAATATTCAGCAGACATCGAGGCCCCAGCTCAGCAGAGTGCCGAAATGTGCCTTGCACTCCTATCAGACAACACAACTTGATGTTTAAGTGCTGGTGGTCTTTAGCTGGTAAAATTAACTCTACCTCAGGAAAGAGGCAGGTAAGGATTGAAGACAGAAATGACTGAGGATCACAGTTTGCTGTTGATGAGGAGTATACATAATGTATTTCTGGCATGCAGCGACCTTCATTCAAGGCTTGGGACACCAAGGTGTGTGGGTAAACATGAATGATCATCACACAGGTACCGTGGATGTGGTAACAGCACAATCCAGCATCTCACTTCAAGGTGAAGTCAATACAGCCAAGTACACGCTGGTGGTTTTTAACTGGTAAAATTAACTCTACCTCAGGACTTCGGAAGAGGGAGGTGAGGATGACAGACAGAAATGACTGAGGATCACAGTTTGCTGTTGATGAGGAGTATACATAATGTATTTCTGGCATGCAGCGACCTTCATTCAAGGCTTGGGACACCAAGGTGTGTGGTTAAACATGAATGATCATCACACAGGTACCGTGGATGTGGTAACAGCACAATCCAGCATCTCACTTCAAGGTGAAGTCAATACAGCCAAGTACACCTTCATGTCCCAATCACCACCATCTGTGTGAGCGCACTGGCAGACGGGGAAAGGTTTTGGGAAGAAATAACCAGAGAAAAATGGAAGAGGCAAGACCTGACCAGAGGGCAAAACCCTTTCTGACCCTGCTCAGCCAGGGACCAAATTCCCATCCCTGCCTCAGCATCTCAGGCAAAAACCAAAGAGCTCTGAACCAACGCGCAGAGAGCAACCGATTCCAGTCACAAACAGCCGTCGAGGTGGCTTGTCAGGGAGCAATTAAACCCTGCACTGAATAAAATATGTTAAAAATGCACTGCATTGTGGCTTTAAATAGCCCCTTGTTGGAGAGGTGGCTCTGGCTGCCAACTCGCGCTTGGGTAAACTCTGTTTTTTGCTGCTGCTGGGATGCTCTGAATGTGCATAGGGCAGTTGCATCACACACTGAATAGTCTGGCATTACCTCATGCCTGAAGGGAAGGGCAGAGGAAAATGAACCTGCAGCCTGTTTTCTTCGTCTACTTATTTATTTACTTTGCTGAGGGGCTTTTTCTAGTTGCTTTTGTTTGGGGTGTATTTTTTTTCGGTCCTTTTTTTTTTCCCCCCTGAGCTAAGGGTAACTTGAGTGCACAGTGATAGAAAAAAAGGTGGTGAGGAAAATACTTTGGGAAATGATTTTTTTTTGGTCCTTTTTTTTCCTCCTGAGCTAAGGGTAACTTGAGTGCACAGTGATAGAAAAAAAGGTGGTGAGGAAAATACTTTGGGAAATGTAAAGTGGGGAGGTGGATGGCAGGGGAGAGAGGGGAAAAATGCAAGTCAAAGAATTAAATCCAAATTCCAGTCTGGGA